TATCCTCCCTCTCTCCATTCTCCCTTTCTCTATCCTCCCTCTCTCTATCTTCCCTTTCTCTATCTTCTCTCTTCTCTATCCCCCATTTCTCTATCCTCCCTCTCTCTATCCACCTTTTCTCTATCCCCCCCTTTCTCCATCCTCCCTTTCTCTATCCTCCCTCTCTCTATCCTCTCTCTCTCTATCCTCCCTTTCTCTATCCCCCCTTTCTCCATCCTCCCTATTTCTATCCTCTCTCTCTCTATCCCCCCTTTCTCCATCCTCCCTCTCTTTATCCTCCCTCCGTTCCCCCTCCCTTCCTTCTTCTCCCTGACCGCCCGACGCTTATCATAAGAAACCTTGCATTTGCAACCCGGGGCGACGGGAATTTGCAACAATTTGGGTTGGGTGGAAGAGGGAAGGGGGAGGAGGGGGAGGGGGGGAAGGAGGGAAGGGGGGAAGGAGGGAAGGGGGGAAGGAGGGAAAGGGGAGGAGGGAAGGGGGAGGAGGGAAGGGGGGAAGGAGGGAGGGGGGGAAGGAGGGAAGGGGGAAGGGAAGGGGGAGGAGGGGAGAGGGGGGAAGGAGGGAAGGAGGAGGAGGGGAGGGGGAAGGAGGGAGGGGGGGAAGGAGGGGAGGGGAAGGGAGGAAGGGGAAGGGGGGAAAGGGGAGGGAGGGAAAGGAGGAGTTGGGGAGGGGGGAAAGGGGAGGGAGGGGGTGAAAGAGGGAAGGGGGGGGAAGGAGGGAAAAGGGAAGGGGAAGGGAGGAAAGGAGGAGGTGGAGAGAGGGGAAGGAGGGAGGGGGGGATAGGGAGGTAGTCGGGTTTTAGGTTGCCTGTTTTGCGCAGTGATGGTATGTATACACAAATAAAAAAAGAAAACTATGTAAAATATTAATAGCAAAAAAATTGTTTATAAACGTTGTATCTATGTCCTTCCATCCACCCATATATATGTCTTTGTATTCTGTGTTTGCTGGTTTTGTTTGTTTTTGTTTTTGTGTTTTTTTGTGGGGGGGGAGGGGGGTGGGAGTCAGTCAATATTTAAATACGATTTTTTAAAACAAGTATTACATAGATTGAAATGAAGAACATGGAAACTACAGTGAAAGAAACAAAGGAAAATTGGAGGTGGAGGAGGAAGAGGAAAGAGATAAGAGGATAGGAAGGAATTAGAGAGAGGAGGAGACAGAAGAGGATGGAAAGAGGAAGGGAAGGAATTAGGGAGAAAAGACACGAGGGAGAGAGAAAGGAAGGGACGAAGGAGAGGGAAGAGGGGGAGGGGCGAGAGGGAGGTCAAGGGAATAGGCAATGGGGAAGAGACAGAGAGATGAAGGAAAGAGGGGAGAGTGAGAAAGGCAACGGCGAGGGGCAAGAGAGGAAGAAGCAAGAAGAATGGGCGAGAGAGAGGAAGGAATGAAGGACGCGCTCGAGAGAGAGGGAGAGGGTCGAGTTGCGAGGGAGAGGCGAGAGGGAGGACCAAAAAAAGAGGGAGAGGGAATGGTAACGATGGGGGGCAAGAGGGAACATTGAAGGCAAGAGAGAGGGAAGGCCGGGGCAAGTGGCATGAGGGAGGAGGGAGGGGAAGGGAGAGGGCGGTTGAGGAGGAGGGAGAGGAAGAGAAAAGGCAAGAGAGAAAGACAAGGGAGAGGCACGGTTGAGGAGAGCTGAGAGGGAGAGAGAGATAAGAGGGAGAGAGAGATAAGAGGGAGAGAGAGGCAAGAAGGAAAAAGAGGCAAGAGGGAAAGAGAGGCAAGAGAGAAAGACAAGGGAGAGGGACAATTGAGGAGACCTGAGAGGGATAGAGGGGCAAGAGAGAGAGAGAGAGGCAAGAGAAAGAGAGAGAGGCAAGAAGGAGAGAGAGGAAAGAAGGAAAGAGATGTAAGAAAGAGAGAGATGCAAGAAGGAGAGAGATGCAAATGGTAGAGAGAGACAAGAGAGAAAGACAGGGGAGAGGGACGATTAAGGAGACCTGAGAGAGAAAAGACAGAGAGAAAGGCAAGAGAAAGAGAGAGAGGCAAGAAGGAGAGAGAGACAAGAAAGAGAGAGATGCAAGAGGGAGAGAGATGCGAAAGGGAGAGAGAGGCAAGAGAGAGAAAGGCAAGAGAGAGGGGCAAGAGGGAGGAGCGAGGGAGAGACAAGAGACTCTCCATCCTTCGAGGGCAGAAGCCACAGAACGACATGCAAGCGCAAAGCCTTTTTTTCGACTCGTGTCAGATTATGAATAAGTAAGTAATGTGACTAGCTCTGGCGGGGGGAAGGGGGGGAGGGGGGAGGGGAGTTAGGGGATTCGCACACACGTATTAGAAACACAGACAGACGGGGCAAACAGGCATACATGCATACATACATACATACAGACTGACAGAAAGGCAGACAGCCACGAACACATACAAACAGACACGAACACATACTACATACATACATACAGACAGACAGACAGACTGCCACAAACAGACACGAACACATACCGACAGGCAAATAGACAGACAGATATACATACATACATATAGACAGACACACAGACAGTCACACACACGCGCGCGCGAAATGGGGGCAAAAAACAAACACACGAACACGGAACTACACCCTGAGTATCAAACATACACACATGCAAACAAAAATACACACAGAGTGGGAGATGAATATATAGAAGGAAATATATGACTAAGAGAGGAGGTAGAATCGAGGGCAGAGAGAGAGAGAGAGAGAGAGAGAGAGAGAGAGAGAGAGAGAGAGAGAGAGAGAGAGAGAGAGAGAGAGAGAGAGAGAGAGAGAGAGAGAGAGATTGAGAGAGAGAGAGAGAGAGAGAGAGAGAGAGAGAGAGAGAGAGAGAGAGAGTGAGAGAGAGAGAGAGATTGAGAGAGAGAGAGAGAGAGAGAGAGAGAGAGATTGAGAGAGAGAGAGAGAGAGAGAGAGAGAGAGAGAGAAAGAAAGAGAGAGAGAGAGAGAGAGAGAGAAGAGAGAGAGAGAGAGAGAGAGAGAGAGAGAGAGAGTGAGAGAGGAGAGAAAGAGAGAGAGAGAGAGAGAGAGAGAGAGAGAGAGAGAGAGAGAGAGAGAGAGAGAGAGAGAGAGAGAGAGAGAGAGAGAGAGTGAGAGAGAGAGAAGAGAGAGAGAGAGAGAGAGAGAGAGAGAGAGAGAGAGAGAGAGAGAGAGAGAGAGAGAGAGAGAGAGAGAGAGAGAGAGAGAGAGAGAGAGAGAGAGAGAGAGAGAGAGAGAGAGAGAGAGAGAGAGAGAGAGAGAGAGAGTAAGAGAGAGAGAGAGAGAGAGAGAGAGAGAGAGAGAGAGAGAGAGAGAGAGAGAGAGAGAGAGAGAGAGAGAGAGAGAGAGAGAGAGAGAGAGAGAGAGAGAGAGAGAGAGGGAGATAAAGAGAGAGAGACAGACAGACAGACAGACAGACAAAGAGACAGACAGAGAGCGAGACAGAGAGAGAGGGATATAGATATATAAATAAACAGAGAGAAACAGAGAAACAGAGAGAGAGAGATTGAGAGAGAGAGAGAAAGTGAAAGAGTGAGAGGGAATGAGACAGAGGGACATAGAGGGAGGGAGAGATAAATAGATAGAGAGTGAGAGAGAATGAGAGAGAATGAGAAAGAGAAAGGAGAGAGAAGAAAATAATCGAAGAAAGGGAGAAAGGGAGAGAGAAGAAAATAAACAAAGAAAGAGAGAAATGAAGAGAACGAAAGTAGACTATAAACAAATATGGACAGCATCGTATAATATATGCAGACCACAAGCAACATAAAAAATAATGATTAAAAAAAAAAGCTTTCTCACAACCCACTATAATCCAGTCACAACCCACTAAAAACTCAACCCATCCTTAAACCACCATAACCCACTCATTTAGAGAGAGAGAGAGAGAGAGAGAGAGAGAGAGAGAGAGAGAGAGAGAGAGAGAGAGAGAGAGAGAGAGAGAGATATCGAACGAGCGAGAGAGAGAGAGAGAGAGAGAGAGAGAGAGAGAGAGAGAGAGAGAGAGAGAGAGAGAAGAAGAAGAAGAAATAAGTTACATATTTACGAACCTCCCTTGAACAAGACTTAGAAATAAAGTCTTAAACTTAATTCAATTTAAAACGAAACTCAAAAATATTCTCGTGAATATTTTTTTCCCTTTGGATATGAGGTCGATTTTTTTAAAATTATTTTTTTCCCTCTCTATTTTCTAGTGGCTCTTAACACGTGATAGATAAGTAAACAAACAAACTGATGTGTGTTCTTGCCTTTGATCTTCTTTGCAACATGCAACTATTCGTGTGTTTGTTGTTTTTTGCAGAAAATTGTGTTCGGAGAGAGTAATATCGTATATGTTTTTTGTTTTTTTAAATTTCGTCATGATTCTTGTTTTCACTGGATTTACTGCACACGTATATCTCGAATATTTACATGTTTTTATTTTATGTTATTTTGTTTATTTACTTATTTTGCATTTTAGGATACGGATGAAATGCCAAAAATCGATCACCTCTGAAGTCTACGGGATTGTAAACCCATGTTTCACATGAGTCAACGTTTGGGAAAAAATCTTTCTTTTCGTAAATGTTTTTCGAATCTCCTTGTTCATGCATTTTCCAGTACACATTCCTTCTCTGCTTTTCAAACTACCAAGCACCCGCCCCCCCTCAAAAAAAAAAATGTTACGTTAATGTAAGCGACGATTTTTCATCAGTTCCGAATTTTAAAAATAACAGAAAAGAGGGACACGGTGACAAACACGTATATATATATATATATATATATATATATATATATATATATATATATATATATATATATATATATATATATATATATATATATATATATATGTATATATATATATATATATATATATATATATATATATATATATATACATATATACATATATACATATATATATATATATATATATATATATATATATATATATATATATATATATATATATATATATATATATATATATATAACACTTTTACTTATCCCATATACTCTCTATACAAAACGCCCCCCCCTTCCCCCTCCCCTCCTGCCCCCTCACCTTATTATTCTCTATCCTGTAGGAGGCCGCGGACGAACGGCGTCTCTTCTCAATCCCAATGCCTCCCGCAGCGAGCCAGTCCTTCTTGGATCCTGTTCTCTCCTTCTTCCTCTCTCCGTTCTCTTCGCTCCTGCGTTCCGACATCCTGGTTGACCTCGATTGACCTGGCTTCTTTTTCTTCTTCTATCTGTGTGTCTGTCTTGCGTCTGTCTTGCGTCTTCTCGTTGGCTACAGGTGGGTGTGTTTTCTCCTTAACGAACAAACCATTAAAAAATATATATCTTTATACGAGCGTATATTCTCTTCTTTTTTATATGTATATTCCAAGAAAGGAAGTTCCGGTGTTTGCGATATTATATTTCTTTTACGTTATTAACTTTGTTATTATTATGATCTTTATTAAACACTTTTATTCCTGTAGTGATAAAAAAAGCGTTTGATCTGTCACTTTTTTTTTCTCCCAGCCAAGTCCACAAGACTCTTTTTCTCTCCTTCTCTTTCTCTTTTTTCTCTCTTTCTTTTTTTTCGAGCGCACAGGGCCCTGACAACGCACACTCAGGATCGGCCGAACCTCTCCCCTCCACGTCTCGCACACGAGTGAGGGGAAGTACGGGCGAGCGGCCTCTCTCCGTGCCGGGTTTCTGCTCGTCCTCCTCTCTCTCTCTCTCTCTCTCTCTCTCTCTCTCTCTCTCTCTCTCTCTCTCTCTCTCTCTCTCTCTCTCTCTCTCTCTCTCTCTCTCTCTCTCTCTCTTTCTCTCTCTCTTTGCTCTTCTCTCTCTCCCTCTCTCTTTCCTAGCTCTTCCTTGTCTCTTTTCTCTTGTGTTTCCCGCTCTCTCTCTTTTTCCTTGCTCTCTCCTTTCTCTCTCTCTTTGCTTTTGATCTCTCCTCTTTACTCTCCTCTCTCTCTTTCCTTGCTCTCTCCTTTCTCTCCTCTCTCTCTCTTCTTGCTCTTCTTTGTCTATTTTCTCTTGTGTTTTCCTCTCTCTCTCTCTTTCCTTGCTCTCTCCTTTCTCTCTCTCTTCCCTTGCTCTCTCATTTCTCTCTCTTTTTCCTTGCTCTCTCATTTCTCTCACTCTTTGCTTTTGATCTCTCTCTCTTTGCTCTCCTCTCTCTTTCCTTGCTCTTCCCTGTCTCTTTTCTCTTGTTTTTCCCTCTCACTCTCTTTCCTTGCTCTCTTCTTTCTTTCTCTATTTTTGCTCTTCCTTCTCTCTCTTCCCTTGCTCTACTCTATCTCTCTCTTTGCTCTTTCATATCTTCCCCCCTTCCCCCCTTCCATATGCAGGGGGAAGGGGGGAAGGAGTGGGGAAAAGGGAGGAAAGGGGGAGAGGTGGAGGAAAGGAGGAAGAGAGAGAAGTAGAGAAGAGGAAAGGGGAAATGGAGGGACGGGGGAGAGGAAGAGGAAGAGAGGGACGGGGGAGGGAGGAATAGGGGGAGGGGGGAAGGAGGGAGGGTGGGAGAGGAGTAAAAAGGAGACACACAGACATACACACATACTTGTTAATGTTTATATATGTATATATATATATATATATATATATATATATATATATATATATATATATATATATATATATCCATATATCTATCTATCTATCTATCTATCTATCTATCTATCTATATATGTATATATGTATATGTATATATATATGTATATATGCATATATATATATATATATATATATATATATATATATATATATATATATATATATATATATATATATATATACATATATATATATATATGTATATATACATATATATATATATATATATATATATATATATATATATATATATATATATATATATATATATATATATATATATATATATATTTATATATCTATCTATATATAGATATATATATATATATATATATATATATATATATATATATATATATATTTATTTATTTATTTATCTATATATGTATGTATACATGTATAAATAAGTATTTATGTGTATTTGTATACATATTATACATATGTATATATATATATATAAGTATATATATACATATATATATATATATATATATATATATATATATAATATATATATATATATATATATATATATATATATATATATATATATATATATATATATATATGCACACACACATATATATATGTTACTGAAGTTACCGAAGAGGAGACGACGGCAGAAAAATAATTAGTAAGAAGCGAAGCACAAACGAAGAGTGAAGAAAAATGTTAATTAAACAGCGGAGTTTGAAGCGAGACAGGCAGCGATATGGCTGTCGGCACGGGGGGGGGGAAGAGGAAGAGGAGGGAAAAGGGGGGTAGAAAGGGAGAGGGAGGAAGATGGAAGGGAAAGAGAAAGGGGGAGGGAGGAAGATGCGGGAGAGTAGGAGGAAGGAAAGAGGAAGAGGGGGAGGAGAAAAAGGAGGGAGAAGAAAGAGGGGGAGAAAGGTTAGAAAAAGAAGTGGGAAGAGGAAGGGGGAAATAGGGAAGAGGAAAGAGGAAGAGGAGTG